CCAGCTGAACAGCCATCTACCTCGGCTCCATATCTGATCCCGATATCTCAACGCCGTCGACGACGCCGAACAGTTTTTGCTACTGAAATGGGCTGTCAAAAGGCAGTTACCAAAGACCTCTTAGCCAGCATCCCTACCGACGTTGACGTTCAACCAGCACAAACCCAGCCTCAGCCAAGGCAAAAGCAAAAAAGAATTAAGAAGGCCCAGCCAAAGGCAAAGGTGACTCAGGTTGATACTGAGGATACCTTGCCAATCTCCAAATTAGTTGAGAGCGACAAGTCCCATTCTGCCACCGAGAAGAGGCCTGCCGAGGGCCAACTATCTGAATCTACCTGATCAAAAAAGCTGAGGTCATCCGATACAACCACCTCGGGGTCTCTGAAGCACGATGCCCCCTTGGCCCTCCAAATCACACTAGAGGATAAGCCAGTTAGGGCTAGCGATAGTGCCGATGACATAAACATAGGCATTGCCCTTAGTACCGCTCTGCTCTTTCCTGGCGATCTCGACCGGAACGCCGAGCTGAGCGAATATGAAAACTATGCTCTGATGCTCCAGTGCTCTGTCCAAGTGAGTGTCTTTATTTGGTCATTTTTCTTTCTTTCTTGTACTTAGAAAATTTTCTAATAACTTTTGTCTTGTTTACTTTCAGGCCATCCAGCATGCTCATTCCTTCTCAACACAATCCTTTGAAAACCGGAAAGAACTGGCTGATAAGAAGAGAGAAGTTGCCAGTCTGCAAAAGGCCAATAAAATCTTGCAATCCAAGATGAAGACCTTGGAGGATCAAGCCGAGGCTGCTATTAAGGCCCAAAATGTCGCCGAAGAAAAAGCAGAATCCACCGAGGCCATTAAGAATATTCTTGAGTCTGAAAAGAGAGAGGCCGAAGAAAAGATGACCCAGGCCGAGAAGGAACTTCAAGAAGCCCTGGCCACAAAAGAGGCCGAAGTCAAGGCCGCTGATGAGAAGGGCTATAACGAGGGGGTGGCCGATGTCACGGCAGACTATGAAAAGCAAGTGAAACAGGCATGCAACAAGGGTTTCACCCTGGGTTGGATGTCTCTTCTAAAAAAGCTTGAAGTCCCCGAGGACTTGCCCCTCAGGAACGCCGATGTCATTCATCTTCCATTCCCTCCAATTCCAACTCAATCCGACGACGAATCTGAGTCCGAGGAGGAGACCTTGACGAGGAAATCAAAGGAGGCTGCTGGGACCAAGTCCCCTTCTCTGAACGAGCAAGTCCTGGACTTGATTCAAGATGAGGAGGGTGATGAGGTTCCCAAGGAAGCTACCCCTGAGCAGGCATTGTTGGACGTACCTCTCACCGACAAGAGCCTTGATCAAACCCTTCAAGAAATTGATGCTGAGCTTGCGGCCGAGATGTCTTCCCAGCAGTCTTCCGAGATCCAGACCCAGCCTACTGACGATGCTGAAGAATCTTAATTTTGGCATCTTTTTCCTTTGTTTTTTGCCCTTTGTACTTCTTTGTTTTTGGGACAGTGTAAACTCTTCACATGGCTGATGTGCCTTCTTATGAATACAACTTCCTTCTTTCTTGGATGCTTGCATGTTTGTCTTTTCTTTATTGCTCTTGTATGACTTTCATACTTAGAATAAGTTTGTGTCTGCCAAAATGCATCTTAGTCTTGTGCAACCTTCTCAGGGTGAAACACCTCGGCTTACATCGGCAGGTACTTAGCTTAATACAACTTTGGCTTTAATTTGTAAATTTTTCTCAAATTTCAACAAGTGTGTAACCTTGGTTTAACTTCAACTTGCAAACTTTTCTCAAGTTTCGACAAGTGTTAAACATCATCTCGGTTTAACTCCAACTTGTAATCTTTTCTCCAGTTTCAACAAGTGTTAAACATCATCTCGGTTTAACTTCAACTTGTAAACTTTGCTCAAGTTTCAACAAGTGTTAAATATCATCTCGGCTTAACTTCAACTTGTAAACTTTTTACAAGTTTCAACAAGTGTTAAAGATCATCTCGGTTTAACTCCAACTTGTAAACTTTTCTCAAGTTTCAACAAGTGTTAAACATCATCTCGGTTTAACTTCAACTTGTAAACTTTTCACAAGTTTCAACAAGTGTTAAACGTCATCTCGGTTTAACTTGAACTTGTAAGCTTTTCACAAGTTTCAACAAGTGTTAAACTTCATTTCGGTTTAACTCCAACTTGTAAACTTTTCACAAGTTTCGACAAGTGTTAAACATTATCTCGGTTTAACTCCAACTTGTAAACTTTTCTCAAGTTTCAACAAGTGTTAAAACCATTTTTCTTCTCTCTGCCCCCTAATGTGAACCTAAGTTCCACTTGGGTTCTCATTATACATGTATTCCAGAAACAACGTTATGTATCTTTATCAGTCACAAGTGTATGAACGAATGAATCGAGCTATAACTTTATTTATTTACTTCGGCAAATGACAAAAAAACAAAACTTTATTTATTTACTTCGGCAAACATCTTAATATTTGCTCTCAGGAATGCTTCCAACTTTTTTTCCTCTTCGTCGGCTAAGCCCGAGCCGAGAAGAAAGAAGCGTTCTTTATCATCCTCCTAGATGAGGATTTTCTTTAGTGCTTCTTCATTCTTCTCGACTGACTCTTTGCCGATATCCTCTAGGACCTCCACGTCCTCGCCTTCGATCTTTGCCATCTCTGGTTCTCGTATGCTGCAGGTGGATTTCATTGCTGCAATGGAGCAATTCTTTGCCTGCAGCTGATCTCTTCTATCCCATGTTCTGTTGGGAACTGCAATAGTTGATGCAATGTTGAGGGAACAGCCCCCATCGCATGCAACCACGGCCTTCCCAAGATGATATTGTATGGGGAGGGTATGTCGATTACGGTGAACTCTGTCTTTATCTTCTTGGTGCCAGTCTGCACCTCCAAGCTTGTCGTTTCCAGTGGCCATATCGGCGTTCCATTGAACCCAACCATTGGGCTATTGGATTGCTCCATATCGTCTGAGTGAAGGCCAAGCTCCTTGTAATATCTGACGTAAATGATGTCACAAGAGCTGCCTTGGTCGATTAAGATGCGCTTCACATGGCATTCCCCAACCTGGAGAGATACTACCAAGGCATCGTTATGTGGATGCTGCACCATCTCAAGGTCGGCTTCAGTAAAGGACACTACTGGTCCTTGGCACTCTTCTGCCCGATGTCTCTTCTCCCCGACTTGGTAGACATGCTGTAGGTGTTTTACCTTCTGGGTCTTCCCCCGAATTTCGTTTTCGTTGACCTTGTATGATCCTATTGATCAAGCTTGCGCTCCTCGAAACGTCGTCACTTTGCCACCCGAGAACACAAACGTGAGCTAACCGGCGGGTGTGTGCCGGAAACCCCTCTGATGCCTAAGTCAGCACAATAGACAATAGACACAAAAGCTCTATGAATTCAGGAATCAAAGTTGTGTTACCTCTTCATAGGTAATGTTATGAGCCTTTATAGGTTTCGCGTGGCACAATCCTAGTAAAACTCTTATTCCTCCATGTAGAGTCCTCCTAGAAATCATACTCTTAAAAGATAATGCTTATCTCTTAACACCCCCCTCACTGCTTAAACCAAGTGAGATGGTTTTACCTCGGTAGTATGACAAAACGACCGAGCTAACATGACTATGGTAAACTGGCAAATGTAACCGAGCTGTAACTGCTCGGTTCTTCCTTTCATAGCTTGTACCTCAGTTTCACCTGTTGAGACCGAGCTAACCATAGCAAGCTTGGGCCGAGCTAATCTAGAGCAAGGCCCTGAGAGAAGCTCAAAACATTTCCGCCCAGAATGGTATGACCGAGCTAATTACTACCATTCTGACCGTGGTGACCGAGCTAACTTTAAGGCTCTTTTTAGACCGAGCTAACTACAAGGCCTTTTTACTCAGCCCTTTCTTACTGCGGCCTACAGAACGGCCTATTACCTAACTCGGCCCAATTTACTTGTAAATTACTCTCTCAAATACATACAGTTCAAAGCATTGGGTGACATAATTTAATTTACAATAAGTATATATATATATGGTAGTATTACATATATATATATATATATATATTAGTTTATTAACTAGTGTATTAATACTAATTATGACATTATTATTAATCTCACTCATTATATAAATTATAATTATTAAAAAAATTTAAATTATATCATATCATATACTAATTAATATATTAATTAATACATATAACATTATTTACATATATATTCAGGAATTAATTAAAGTGAAACCCCAACAAACATTGTAAGTAGGGAGGATCATTTTCCTCTGTCCCTACATCCCTGGTCTTGACGAGGAAGTGAGGTGGAGATGGATTTTGCATCTCAGGTCTCATTCTATCCAACCGTTGTCCTAATTATTCATAATGTATTATATTATTTATAATTTTTATTAATATTCTCATTTTCACCATACAAAATTATTCAATTTTCTGCCTCGCCCCACTATCCCCGATTTGGCCTATCTTCAGACAACCCAACTTAAATCTGACCTATGGTTATCCCTTATGGAGGAAAAAGAAGAAAAAAAAAAAAAGAAAATTATATAGAATACTTTCAAAATATCATGTGTTTATATTTTTTATTATTTATTATGTTTTTTCATATTTTTTAATTATTAAACATAATATTATACTTACTTTCTCGACAAATCAAATATTATAAAATATCATGTGTTCGTACTCTAAATTATTCAATAATCATCATCATAAAAAAAAAAAAAATAATGTGCACGAAACCATGATTAAAGTCTATCCGATGAAAGCTTTTTGGAATTGTTTTTCTAATCCAAGGACGGAATGTCTACTACCAACTCACTCCTATCCCCTAAAAAAACATTCTGTAAATTTATTTTATTTATTTTTGATAAATTGGGTGATGCCTATCTTGCAACCCACGTGGCTCCGTGCTCACTGCTCTCTCTGTCTCTCGCCATTTTCTCTCTCCTCCTGCCTATATACACTCCAACTCTGCATCAGCCTAGCCCATCTCTCTCTCTCTCTCTGCCTCTCTCTCTCATAACAAGTCTTTAGACTCTTCTTCATTTGCAAAGCTTTCTGGTGATTCTCTCACTACTTGCATCTTAAATTTTAATTTCAATCTTAGTTAGCTTTAGCTATCCCAGCTGGTTTTGTATTCAGAAGAAGAGCAAATATACTAGAAACCATGCTGCTGGAAAAGGTTGTGCGCCTTGGCAATTTGATCCGATCTTCCAGTTTTGCTTCTTTATCAAAGGTCGGTCTTTCTTTTGTTTATCATTGCTTTTTTGTATAATATTTTTCAGGATGTTGACATGAGGAGTACACTACTTAGCTTTTTAACTTTGTGCCCCTTGGGTTTTTACTTTGTACTAGTATGCTTCATCTTATCAATTTTTGATGAATTTTGGTACTAGCTGTTTGGATATAGTTTACACTGTACTATGCAGCTGGAGCTGAACTAGCAGCTAGCCACACCCAATGTCCCAAACCCAATGCCCTACACAATCACTAATGCCTACGTAGTTTTGGGTACTTGTAATATCAGATTTCTTATTAATTATTAAAATATAACTGAATAATAATTTATTTTTTTTTAGAGGGGTTTAAATTTTTTAGTTTATATAACAATATTTTATAACTACTATGTACTCAAAAAATTAGGATATCAGCTTTCTAATTTCAAAGCTAATATATGTCTCCCTGTTTGGAAGGGTCATTATTTAGTTTGAATAGGCTTTTAACTGGTTTAGACCCGTATTTTAGGAAGATTGGCTTGAATGAAACTGGGTCTAAAACCCGCTCCATTTGTATTCGTTGGCTCGTGAGATGCAACTGGCTTGACCACAAGTCCAAATAGATAATGGTTCTGTTTGGTAGGACTAATTTCTAACTTATTTTAGTTTTTAACTTAATTTAAGTTATTTTGATGTGTTTGGTTCAGCTTAACAATACAGCTTATAGCTTTTTGTAAGTCAAAAATCAACTTATTCTTTAAGTGGGGAGGAGAAACTTAATTTATTTTGATGTGTTTGGTTCAGCTTAACAATATAGCTTATAGCTTTTTGTAAGTCAAAAATCAACTTATTCTTTAAGTGGGGAGGAGAAACTTAATTTATAAGTCAAAAATCAGTTTATATTCACAGTTATAAGGTATACCTTATTAAATTATAAAGTATAATCATTTTCCCACAATTTTACTAAACGGGACCAATATAAAAAAAAAAGGAGGCCGTTAGGCCTGCCCACAAGCCTATCTGAGCCAAGCCTGTAGCGCAAGGTTTGGGCCTAAAATTTTGCCCACAGAAAAAAAGTACGTTGAGCTTAGCCTGCGGACCATCTTGGGCTATTTTCGTGCTCAGCCCAGACTAAACCTTATCTTGGATGGCCTATTAATTGATTCACTATTGAAATTGAAGAAAATTGAAACAGGGGAATTAATAAAAGAAATTGAAAAGAACAGTTCATTTCTAAGTTTTGGAAGGCATGGGTTGGAACACCAATTCTGTTAAACAGCTTGACTGCTCACAAAATCCATACCTTGTTCATATTTGATCTCAATATATGAGGCAATGATTTCTCTTCATAAAAATGCATAATTGTTTGTAAAATTCAGATTAAAGTCAAATTCTATTTTACAGATTGGAGCTTACTATACATCTCGGGCTGCATCTCCCCTCCAAGAAGCCTGTGAACCTTCTTCTTACAGGTAACTAACTGCTAAGAAGCACGAGCACCGGCATGGACATTGATATAGGACATAACAATTATGAAAAAAAATAAATTACATTTTACAGCATTGATTAAGGCAAAATGTTTTTATTTTTCATGTATATAAATATAAATTTAAAAATAAAAATATTAGTGACATAAATTTATATGTTAGTGTATTTTTATTTTATTTTATTTTATTCACTTTTCCTTCCTTATTTAGCATCCAGTTAAAAAAATTATATATATATTTTTGCCTTTAGTTTGTCTTTATTTTTTAATTTGCATCAATTTTTTTTCCCCAATCCCTATACTTTAGAAGAATCTAAAAATTCAAAAAAGTTTACTAAAACAACCTCTTAAAAAAGCCAATTGTTTTTAATATTTTATTTTTGGTGAATTTTTTAATTAAATTTTGGGTAAATGACAGATATACTTCATAAGATTTGCTTAAAATATGAATGTCTCTGTAGTTTGGGAAATTATAAATACTCTCTTGTCAAAAAAATTTTATTTAACAAAATTAAAAAAATGAAATTTGTAACTAATCTCCTATACAATAATTAAATTATATGTATTGTTAATTGAAATATATTTATAATATCATTAAAAACTGTTAATTGACTTAATGATTTATTAATAAAAGTAATCATTTGTTATGCGATTAAAAACTTGAATGGATGAGATGTAGTTTCCAAAATTATAAGCGTAATTTTGTATTTTAAGCAAATTTATAATTTACTCTGAAATTTTCTAGTTAGTATAAATTAAAATTGTAAACGCAAGAATGTCAACAAAAAATCATTAAAAAAAAGGAAAATTTTAAATTCAATATATATTTTAAAAAATAATTATAGATCAATGAATTTTTTTTTATAAATATTAATAATTAAATTCTTAAATTTTTTCATCAACTTGTAATAATTTTGTGAAAACACATCAATGGAGATTGGAAAAAAAAAAATAAAAAATAAAAAATAAAAAAATCCCAATCTTCAATCAGACATGTATTTTATTTTTAAGAAATGCTAGGGTTATGCATTCTGTGCACACAACCTATGTGTTCCTAACATTTCTACATTTCTCTTTTCTTTTATCCTACTAGTAGTAGTAAGATAAATAAAAATAAAAATTAAATTAAATAAGTAACAAAGGTGTCCTAGGTCCTAGGTCGGTGGTGTCCTATATTGGTGTTCATGTCCCTGCAGTTATCTGCATCTCAATACTAATGTGCATTGATTTTTATGTGATTGTTGTATGATTAGTGATTTAGTACTAAAATATTGTATTTATGAATCAAAATGCGGCAGTGATGATGAGTCCACGGATATTGATTGGAACAATATCGGATTTGGTATCAGGCCAACCGATTACATCTACATTACAAAATCCTCTGCAGATGGGATTTTCGAACAAGGCCAACTCAACCCCTATGGCAACATTGAATTAAACCCTTCTGCCGGAGTCTTAAACTATGGCCAGGTACCTATGTTCAGCTTCTTGCTCTCTTAGTTATTGTAATGTATAGGACTGAGTTATAATATTTTTACTAATCAAAACCCATAAATGTCATAGTTTGCACATAGCATTACCATAAGTTTATCTGGGCTACAACTGAGAGAAATATGTGATGGGCTATATCCAAAACAGGGATTGTTTGAAGGTACAAAAGCATGTAGGAGAGAAGATGGGCGCATCTGCCTCTTCCGCCCAGATCAGAATGCAATCCGTATGCAGGTTGGTGCTGAGAGAATGTGCATGCCTTCTCCCTCCATTGATCAATTCATTGATGCTGTCAAACAAACCGCCACTGCTAACCGGCGTTGGGTAATCATCCTTTATCTATTCTTTACCCAAAAACACATACATACAAGTGTACCTATATGAATATGTATTGATGGTATGCGACTTTTGTTGTTTTGAATTTGAGTAGATTCCCCCTCCAGGAAAAGGGTCTCTTTATATTAGGCCTTTGCTCATAGGAAGTGGACCTATACTCGGTTTGGCACCGGCGCCAGAATACACATTCCTTGTATATTCTTCCCCGGTTGGCAACTATTTCAAGGTGACATTTCTGTCGTTTCCTTCAACTTTTTTTTCTTGGTCAAAAATTGGATTATGAATGTGATTTAGAAAGGTGAAATGTTTTATATGATCTTGGTTTTTGTATATGCAGGAAGGTTTGTCACCCTTGAACTTTTATGTTGAGGATGAATTCCATCGTGCCACTCGTGGAGGAGCTGGAGGTGTCAAATCCATTACCAATTATGCCCCGGTATATACATTATTTTTCCATTTGAAAGTAAAGCAATTGATTAATTTCTTGGACATCTGAAAATTTACTTGAAAAAATTTTCTTCTTGAATGAAGGATTTTGTTAAGGCACTTGAGGTAGGTGTATCATTTTGTTATACGGAACGAAAGCCTTGAAAATCCTGAGGGGGCCTAAAATTTTGAAATGTGCCCGGAATTTAATTTGTAAAGAATTTTCAACACCTTTTATAGTTTATCAGTAGATTGTAATTATGAGATAAAAGAAGGGGAAAAAAAAGGGAAAATTCAAAAATTGGGTTGTTGATGCTTTGCCATGGATCTTCCACTAATCATAATCCTTCTGTCATGTAGGTTTTGAAAGCATTAACTAGAGCAAAGAGCAGAGGATTTTCTGATGTAATATACCTTGATTCGGTGCATAAGAAATATCTTGAAGAGGCCACTTCTTGTAATATTTTTGTGGTGAAGGTAATGCTCAACTTAGCTTCCTGCTTATTTAATTTCATTTCTATTATCTTACTATGGTTTTTCTTTTCCTCAAAGTGAGAAATAAGAAAAATTCTAGAACAACTGTTAGGTTTGGATTTTTCGTTATAAAGGGAGACACATTATTTTTGTCTTTTTTTTTTGGGTTGCCTCTATTTAGCTTTTACTAAATTTTTAACTTACATTGGTTTTAATAGTATTTCCTAGAATTAAACAAATACATATGGACTGTAGACTCATGTAGATATCAATCTTCACAGGGAAATATTATTTTGACTCCACCAACCAGTGGGACTATTCTTCCGGGGGTCACACGAAAAACTGTCATTGACATTGCCCGTGATCATGGGTTTCAGGTAGTTATTCTTGCAACACAGAACTTATACATTAGCCAAATTTCTTTCAGTATTTATTGAAATCACAGATGGAACCTCATAAGCTTGTCTTAACAAATAAACCCTCATACACTGTGATAGAACACAAGGAATGCTTATGTTGGAGCTAGCAATTTCATATTATCATAATGTTGAATGAACAAAAAAAATGTCCCAAGATTATGTACTGGGATGATTGGATAACAAGTTTATTATGCTTTTTGTTTTTTGGGATCTGAAAATTTCCCTGAACATGCAGGTTGAGGAACGTACTGTTCCAGTAGAGGAATTGCTTGATGGTGATGAAGTTTTCTGCACAGGAACTGCTGTTGGTATTGTCCCCGTGGGTACCATCACATATCAGGGTAAAAGGTATGTAGCTGGACTGTTAAGTTGTTTCTTGCCATTGTAGGATCAAAAACTTATCGAACAAAAATGAATCATGGCTGGAACTGCAAAAGCCCTAGAACAAAATTCTTTTAGCATTCTGGTTTTTAGGCAATTTATCTGCCCATTGACATACATTTTAAGAGGTTAAGCTGAGATAGCCTAGTTTGTAACTCCCATTAATCTGGCAGATTCTTGTTTGTGCAATTGATGATTTAGGATCAAATGAAATGTTTGTAGGGTAAGTGGAATAAGACAATTTAGGGAATGTGAATTTTACGAACCTGGGTGTTAAAATGAGGGGAATATGAAACATTGGTTCTATTTACTGGGGCATTTATTCTATTGTAAATGTGAAAAAGGGCCCAAAAAAAAATCCTTCAAATTTTTGTTAATTATGTAGACCTTGACTTAGCGGTTGTTATGTCTTTTCACCAAACAATAGGGCCACTCAAAATAATAATGGCAACGGAATTGTCCTACCTTTGTCTGATTGATGAGTGCTAATCAAATTAATCAAAATCTGTATACAATGACTAAACAGTCTAAAGTGTGCTGGGGAAGCAAGAAATAGGGTATGCCTAACGTAACGAGGATGCAGAAATGAATTACAGCAGCACAAGAAAATACACTCCCCAAAAAAAGAAAAAAAAGGGAATATGAAATAAATGTGTTTTTGAGAAGAAAAGGCGCGTATATTGAGAACTAGACTTGTGATCTGTGCTCTACAATGGCTATACAATCACCAGTAGCACTGTGTGGTAACCATGTGATAGGGAATCAAGAAAGAAGGTATATACTGAAACTTTGTCCAAAAAATTATGAAGGTTTACCTAAAATTTGTCCAACAAAAAATATGAATGCTGAAATGGATTAGGAGGGCAGCTTTCAAGACCTGAGTCGTACAAGGTAATACACAAAACTATTACGGACTTATTGTGTTTGTTATAAGAAGAAAAATGCATACAAAATAAATAAGTTGAAATTGGTGCTAAGATTAATTTTTCTGCTTCATATGCAAATTGCCTACTTATCTGTTGCAAATCAGTTTATATATTTCACAAAGTACTTTCTTGCATTTCTTGCTTTTCCATAATGTAAGCACACCCGATTTGTATATGCAGGGTTGAATACAAATCAGAAGGCCAGCTCGTTAGTCGGGAACTGTACTCAACACTAGTAGGGATTCAATCAGGCCATATCGAGGACAAGAAGGGATGGTATCTTAAGATTGAATGAATTTTTTTTAATTATGTTTCTCAATTGCAGCAAAACAGATAAGTGCAAAAGTACCGTCTGCTCTTTCATTGGTTTCTTGGTTGTAAATAGGGATAATTGTCATTTAATGGATGCCTAATTTGTGAGATCTCCCTTTCATTAGATTCTTCAGTTTGTAAAAGATGGTGTTTCTAAGTATTGTGTGGTTAATAAACTGCTTATTTAAATCTCTCTCCTAGTACCATGTGTCTGGTTGATATTGCACACAGCTGGAAAACATCAACAGTACTGTTTTATTTTATTTCTTTCATTCTTGTAGGGACTAATAACCATAAATTTTACACTTGTTTTGTTCTTCCAGAAAACAAAGATTATGGCACTTGGGTATATGTGTGATTTGGTCTGATTTTTTTTCAAAATGGTTTAGTTTTAGATCTAAATAATCAAGAATTCATGGATTATGGCTTAAATAATCATATTTAACCAAACTGATCTGCTCTCTATTCTTTTATTTTTATTTTTATTACTTTTATGCTGTGTTTGGTTGGGGGATTTGAGGAGGTATTTGGAAAGGGAAATAGAAAAGGTAGGTGAAATGTGAATAAAACATGTTTATATTTCACATAGTTCACACACTTTTTCTCTTTCCCTTTCCAAATCCCTCCCCAAATCATCCAATGAAACACAACATTAAGGTGTTGAAATGATGAATCGGATCTCAGGCATTTTAGTAAAGCCTTCACATGCGATAGCCAACCAATTTGTTCCAATTTTGTGAGATTCCCGTACAAACAAATTTGTAATATTTCTTTTCAGATGCAAATTTATAGAGATTTATTCATTTAAAGGATTTATAATCCAATAAATCCACAATATTCTTGCATATATTAATATTTCTTTTCAGACACATTCGTATTTTATTCTATTTTATTTTTGTTAAGTAATATTATTCTAGATTTATATAACCAATATTTGTATGGCAATCAATTTTATTATTTTTTGATTGGGTTGTATAGTATTCAATCAAATTCAAGTTGTTGCTATGTTATGTTGTAATTATTTGATATATTGTTGATCAATAATCAAGATTTAAAAAAATAAAAAATAAAATAGCTTAAAAGCGTAAAATAAATTTAATTTGTCTTGTTATAGTTTTAAATTTTTTACCCTGTATTAATTTTTTTTATATTGTATCCATTTAATTTAATTGATAACATTTGTTAAAAATTAGACCCAAAAAATAAAAATAAATACACAAAATTTTCAATTACTTTAAGGAGAATGAATTATTTCACTCGTTAATTTCAATCTAATTTTTACAGAAGTGTTATTAATTGAACTAAATTGATAAAAATATATAAAATTGAAAAAAAAAATTGATAGAATAAAATTATAAATGCCAAATTGACCCAAGAGTCAAATTATGACCTCTTGGGTAAATTATGAGCAACAATTAGGGTATAAAGGTCAATTTGAAAAATGTTAGGCTAATGACCACTGTACGGGAAAGAAATAAATTTTCTCGTATAATCCTGTTGATCAAGTCTGCGCTCCTCCGTACGTCGTCGCTTTATCACCTGAAAAACACAAACGTGAGCTAGTCGGCGGGTGGGTGTCGGAAACCTCTCCGATGCCTAAGTCAGTAAGCTTGACAAATAGACAAAAGCTCCGTGTATTCAAAAAGCAAAGTTGTGTGTTACCTCTCCAAAGGTGATGTTTGTGAGCTTTTATAGGTTTCGTGTGGCACAATCCTAGTAGGACTTCTACTCCTCCATGCAGAGTCCTCTTAGGATTCATACTACTGAAAGATAATGCTTATCCTTCAACACCCTCCTCACTGCTTAAACCAAGTGAGATGGTTTTTACCATGGCCTAACTCCAACATGACCGAAGTAATCATGGCTATGCTGAGCCGCAGAGTAGGCCGAACTATCCTTGGTTCGGTTCTTCTTTTCGCTACAACTTATCTTGGTTCTCTCATGTACGAACCATGGTGTGTTTAGACCGAGCTACCGAGTAGTAAGGTTCTGACCGTTCTAACCACAATACGCCATGACCGGGCTAACTTTGAGACCGGCCTAACTCCAAGTCGCCTCCGGACCGGAGTAATATTACATTTCTCTCGGACCGGAGTAATTTTGTACCTCTCTTAGGCCGGAGTAATTTTACGGCCTTTTTACTCAGCCCTTCGTATTGTGGGCCATAATGACCATCTCCCAGCTCGGCCCAATTTTCACAAATATTACCCTCTCAATTGCCCCTTAATTCCATTTGCGCAGCATGATAGGGATTACCTATCTATCAGTCGAGTTGAAGTTTTTAAGCCTTTTCAGCCGAGCTAAAAAACCTTTTAACCTTTCCAGCCGAGCTAAAACTCTTAAGCATTCCAGCCGAGCTAATTTCACACCGGGCTTTGCTTGTCCGGTCAAAACGTCTCTTCAATCACAGCGACTGTAACGCTTCCCATTCTAATGGCACGTGGCATGCTCTGATTGACTGAGGACGGCTGTCGCGCCGTCTTCGTACTTCGTGTTTTTTGAACAGTCCCGTCCAAATTTTGGGCTTTCTAACAAAAGCAAACCCTAAGGCAAAAAATCTCTTCACTTCTACTATTCATCCTTTTCCTTTCCTTCTGACTTCTTCACTATTCTTCGTCTTCTGAAAGAGTTCGTGATTTGCTGCCTTTTGCTTCCATCTTCAGTCCTTGCTTCTTCATCTGGTTAGTATTGTACATCTTACTTTGTTTTCGTATTTTGCTTTCCGTGTTTTGTTTTTTGTGTTTTTGCAAAACACATTTTTCCATTTTGCTTTGCTCTGTACTTTTATGGAAAAAACTTAACAATAGAACACACGAGTATATGATATATCCTGTAGAAAACTGGTTTTTTATCCAAAATCATGATGCAACTGAACTAGGATACTGTTCAAACTAGGTAAAAGTCTAGTCAGCTTACAACCGGACTAACACTTCATGTTCACACTAGTAGCTTTGAATAAGTCAAACCACTTCTTGATAAACTTTAGCCGAGGTAATCAATCGAACTAAGTTTGCACTTAGCATACTGAGATACCTGAACTCCAACCGATCTAGGCCTTTGGGGCTAAACCAGTTTTCTTAGTTTTTTAGATGGAACTCAGAAGGCTGCCCCTAGACGATCAACCGGTCAAACAGAACCATTTCCACAACCGAGATATCTAGACGCTTGCCAAGCCCGAACTAATAAAGCCCTGCTCAAACCGAGCTACCAATCACCTTGCAGAAACCGAGATAGAACCTGTAGCATCCATATAGCCGAAGTAGGGCTCCTATTTTTTACTTTTATCTTATAGCACAGTCCAATGATCTGTGCTTAATCCCTTTGTTTTCTACTTTGCAGACTTAGGTTGCCCAGGCACTCCTCTGCGCGCTCAACTGAGCTACTGAGCACAATTTTTGGACCGAACTTATTTATTCATAATTTATACCATAAAATGGGGAAGTATAGGTATCTAGTAAATACTCCGGGCGGCCTAGCCGAATTCAGAAAAGACTACAATATACCTGATGACGTCCACCTGATTTTAGCCGAGAAAGATGTCATACCTTGGGGCAATTAAGGCTTTGTCCCCTTCACCCTTTTGTCCATAATTGAAACCGGACTACGATTTCCAGTCCAGCCCTTAATTTGTGAGTTTCTTAGGCAAACCAGACTATGCCCAACCCAATTATCCACCAATTCCTACCGTATAATAATGGGTATAGCCGAACTGAACCGCCAAACCGGTCTCAACCTTGGTCTGGCTGAAATCTTTCACCAATACTCCATTGGTTCAAAGGAAGACGGCTGGGTGTATTATCTTAGAATACGCTGTCGTCGTGAGAAAATAATAAAGAACACACCGGATAAAGACTTAAACGACGACGATTTTTTCTGGGTGTCTGGGAACTTTGAGGATCACCAAGCTCAGATTCCTGGCCGAAGCATCAATTGGAAAAAAGGAGAACCCGGTATATTTACTTCGGTTTTCTTGCGTGCTATTTTATATTTCGATTTTTTAATCTTTCAGCAGAACTAACAGTTCTTCTTTCGCAAATTCTGCCCACCTCCATTCTTTATACAGCTACCCAAATCTAGCGACTTTGCGCGCCGCACTATGATATCCAGAACGTAGTTGGGCCAAGCTGCTAAAATTCGAGCCAACCTATAGATACAGCGGCCGCCGAAAGCGAGAGTGACCGACTTTCTGCTAGAGGAGGCCCCAGAACCGGACCCAACCTTGCCAGAAATCAGACTAATCCCACTAACCGCTGAAGAAGAAATGGCCAAAAGAAACAGAGTCAAGGCCCTCTTGACCGAGACCAACAGACCCGAAGTACCGCCACCAAGTCAAATGCAGCCTGCCGTTGTGGCCCTTCCTTCTCAACAGCCTTCTTCATCACGTCCATCTAAGCGCGCCCGATCTACCACGACCAAACAACATCTTGTGGATGAGGACGAATCCATCCCTCCACCAATTCCACAGCCGGAGTCTTCTGACCGGGCTGGCTCTTCCAGGTGGGCACCGAAGCTGAAATTTCAGAACCGCCTTATTCAAGATACTGATTCGGTGGTCGCTGAGAAGGATCACTTGATGGCCTTCAATCTTGCCAAAAGTGTGTGCCTTCCAGCAGACATGGAACACCACCAGAATCTGACCGAGCTGAAGGCCATTCGATCGGCCACTAAGTCCATGATCCTGGTATGATGCCCCTTGTCTCTAAAATTTTTTTTTTTCCTAACTCTCAGTTCGGTTTCCTCATTGATATCTTTCCATTCATTTCAGTCTCTTCAGAGGAGCCAAATTGCCTACCAAAAGGTATTGGAGCTCAGGAAAACGGCTAGGCAAGCCTTGGCAGAGGTTGAGGAAAAAACAACCGAGCTGAAGGAATCCCATAAAAAGACGGCCGAGCTAGAGGCTGAGGTAGCTCGTCTAACCGGACTAGTTACCTCGGCTGAAGCTGACAAACAGAAGGCGTTGATCGTAATGAAAGACAAGTACCTTCGTGAGCTAGTCAAGCTTGAAGGGAAAAAGGACGCCGAAATCGCTGAGCTGAAGAAGAAGATCGGTGATGCCAACGCTGAAGGTTTCAAAGAGGCGGAAGGCCTCTATATTTCGCAATGTGAGGGAGTGAAAGACTTATTCTTCAAGTGTGGCTGGAGAAGTGCTGTGGAGCAGCTCGGTTGTGGGCCTGAAACCGAGGTCTACAATGC